TCATGTGATTTTAACAATCAAACCTATGAAAAACTCAATAAAAAAAAAATACGCAAACGACATATAAAATTGAACTACGTTATTTTGTAAGAATTAAGATTAAAGATGTCATTAGTTAAATTAATGTAACTATGTAAATATTAAAAAATTTAATTATAGTACGAAATTCGAGAACCTAACTGAACCGAACCTAACTAAACTGAATAGAACCAAACCCGAACGGATCCACAATTATTTTTATGCTTCATAAATTTTAAAAAGTGTAGATTGTCTTGTAAATTTTCTTGTTTCGTACTTATTTGAGACAATAAAAATGTTCACTATCACGAATCACAATTAACTCGTGTGAATTAATAAATTTAAGATTGGGATTATAAAAATGGTAATTTTGGACTCGAATTTCAATTTTGTTGCTAGAACCAAATGAAGTCAAATATTCTAAGAACCAATTGGTCAAGTTTTATTTGGAATCGAGCAAATCGACTAGTTTGATCCAATCATAATTAGTTTCAATTAGATTCACATACAAATTTCCACACCTATTTCCATACATAAGCCTTTAAAACATAAAACATTTTATTCAATACATCATGTAATGATATTACTAATCGCCGTATACCTCTTCGGCTCTACGACCACCACATGCAATGTATTCAGATAAGAACAAGTGGTGTCGAAAAATTCCAAATCCATCTCCACTCCATGTTCACATCGCGGAAGAAGATAAGCAAGTGGCGTGTCTGAATTCAACATTTATATAAAAAGACATTAATTCATTTACTATAGGAGTTGATGCTACATATCAATGTAAATGACACTTTACCTTCAATTTTCTCCAATTCATATCCTAAAAAGAATATTTTTACTATAATTAAAGACTTACTTTGGCATCCGACCCACCGTAGACAAAAGTTACACAATAAATAATTGTGAAAACACATGGAATGATCTGTTTTGCATTTTAAAAGTAACAAATTTATGTATTACTAATATTGTATTTTTCTCTCCATTAGCTGTCAATAGTAATAAATTGGAAGAAAATTTAAATATATATAGAGACAATCCAAGCATAGAAGTAGAGTTGTAGATGAAATAGAATGACCAAAAAATTTCTTATCTTGATCTATTTAAGTCCAATAAAAATTTCAACTTCCAATAGGTCTTTCAAATAGAACTTCAATGAAAATTTGCCAATAGACTTTGAATAGGATTCTAAAAACATTTCAATTAGAATTTTTCTTAATGTTCACTTTAATTAGAACTCTCAATTATTTTCATCAAAGAATTCGGGTCACACCTATCACCCCCTCAAGGTAGTAAGTGGTATGGATTGTACTTCAAACATGTATGTCAAAATTCTCTAAAAGTTTGAGAAGAAACTTGGTATTTATGTATGAATTTAGTGCAGGTTCGGCAATCAAATATCATTTTTAACCATACATTTCACGGGATCCATAATATTTATTCACTTTTAACTATACATTTCATAAGAATAACTACTTAACATCCGTTTAGATAATTTATAAACAATTTATTATTGTCAAATTTCAATTTGAGCCAAATATACCGATAACTCACACAGGTACAATCCACTTATCGAAGACTCATTTATATCGATCTATAAATTAAACCATTTATAAATTCTTCCCAAACGGAGGCCTATAAACTGCAAAAAATTTATACCAAACTAGTTTTGATGGAAGTACTATGTAACCAAGGCTTATGTTGCAACTTTCTCTCATACAAAGTGCTAATTACCATGTGCTAGATACCTGCATATATCAGTGGAGATTGAAAGTAATCCGAAGAGAACACTTAAGTCGTCACATAGTTGTGAAGGTTGTTGAATACAAATACCAATATCCTGAAGAAGAAAGGTGAGCCATGCAAGTTCAACTGTCGTTGAAGCAAGGAAATAGGGGAGGATTCAGCGTGGGGCAACTTCCTCACACTAACTTTAAAATATTATCCTATTTTCAGAAAATTTCCGATTTTATAATTTTGTCCCTGGAATCTGGCATATATTCTAATTCACGCCGATGATCTTCTTCCAGTAAAATTGATGAGTGATTTACAATCATTATATTATGCCATTAATTTCATGATTTTGCTATCTTGGAGAGTATTTTAGAAGTGCTAACAAGTGATTTTGGTGTTGTTTTGTAGATTGATGGAAGTGTAAACAAGAGCTAAAAGAGGTCAAAGGAAGGAAATAGGCAAAAGCTAGCAAAATTGGATGAAATGACCAAAACGTAAGAGATCCAAAGTTCGAGGATTAAAATGCAATTAATCAAAAGTCGTGTCGAAACTTGAAATGAAGATCCGAGAGTTCTAGAAGCCAATTGGATGAAGGAAGGTGTCAAAGGAATCAAATTTAGTCAAGATATGATCATAAATCATTTTCCAATCAAAAAGTTTTGTGCCGGAGTTTTGGTCTCACATTTAGACTGATTTTTGACATAGAAAACGATCGAATTGGAGAATGATTCCTGCAGTAAAATTGTGGTCCTTTGAATTATCTTTTCAACGCATCTTAAATCACTTCAATCGGATATCGAACGAGAAAGTTATGTTGAAAATACTGAAGGACGCGCAGAATGCCGTACCGGGCGCCGCGGCGCCCATCGTGAGCGCTGGGGCACCCATCTTGCTGAAACAAGCAGAAAGTCAGTGCCCAGGCGCTGCATTCCGAAACAAAAGGAAATTCTGATTTTATAATATTTTCTCGGCCCAATTAGTAACCTGTTGTTCCCTAAATTCCAAGACACTATAAATACACAATTAAAGACCTAAATTAGGGGGGAGCCGCACACTAAAAATCTGTGGAATCAAGCCACGCGTTCTTGACATATTGGAGAGAAGACAACAAGAAAGGGAGATTGAAAAGAGAAATTCAAGAAGATTAAAACCAAGCAATTGAATATTAGAAGTATTTATTGGAAGGGGAAGGAGATCTTGGTGCAAGATTTCTATGTTTTCTTCTACATCTTTATTACAAATCCGGTGATGTATTCTAAGATAATTTCCTATTTTTCTTCCATTATTATGAGTAGTTAAATTTGATTTTAGGGCAAACAATGTAATCTTTTGGAATCCTTTATTTCATGCAATTAAGATTCTAGTGCTTTCATATTTTATGTATTGAATTTAATGTTGTTCTTAATACATTTAATTACTTGATCACTAATTTGATGATTTGTGAACAATGATTGTGTAGAGTTGCAGATTATTTGTTTAGACCACATGTTAAAATTTGGTAAATTGATATAACCTGTAGAGATACCTATATTGATTGCTGCGGTCGTGTGTGAATTCTTAGAACCAATGTTTCATTTAATTAAATTTAATTTGCACAGAGATATGGAATTAAACTAATTAAATAGGCTCAATGAAAACTCGAGAGGGGTAAGTTGAATACAATAGAAGAATTCGACCGAACACTACCTTAGGTTTTATGAATCTTGATTTATGAAGTAAAGGTGACCAATAGGTGAAATTGTTCCGCCCGAACGTCCATTTATTGTTTGAATTCTCAATCACTTTTCGTTGCATCCAATCGCATTTTTAAGTATTTAGAATAAAAATCACATTTAATCATTGTTTTTGTTTATTTTCGTCAAATAGAAGTTAGAAATAATAAATTGGGTATTAAAAGTACAGTCCTTGTGGGAACGATAATTCTGACTCAAAAGGTCTACTTTACTATTTGTTACGATTCGTTCACTTGCGGGATAAAATCGATAACAAGTTTTTGGTACCGTTGCCGAGGACTATTTCTTTTAGTCTTAATTTTTTTAACTGTTATTTGATTTGTTTATTTTTCTTTTATTTACAGAAAATTGTGTTCGTTGTCTGCTCCGTGCCCAAGGCGACGATCTTGAATCGTTTGATTCGGAGATATAACGTACCTTCAGACGAAGACGCAAGGAACACAAACAAAAACAGCAATATCAAATGGCTGACAATCAACAAATCCATATCCCTATTCAGCCGATTGGGCAAATGGCCGCAAGAGTGGTGGCACCACCGGAACAGCAGCATGAACGAGAGGAAATAAATGAAGGTGATTTGCCAGTATCAATTTCTTGACACCTATAGTAGTATCCATGCACTCCAGTATTGTGTATCCAGATTTTGGGGTGAATAACTTTCAGATCAGGCCGGATTAGATTAACTTGATGAGCAACACTCTGCAATTCTACAGGCTACCTCATGAGAATCCGAACACACATATCTCCAGATTTCTCAGAAATTGTCAGAACTTCCATGCTCCGGGGGTCAATGAAGATGCTATTAAATTACGACTATTTCCATTTACATTGAGAGATGCTGCATTGGAGTGGTTAGATGCGGAGCCTCATGCCAGCATTACTACATGGGAAGAACTGACCAGGAAATTCTGTAACAAATTCTTCCCACCAGCCAGAGTGGCTAAAATCAGATTGGAAGTTCAAACTTTTCAACAGAAAGAGAGAGAAAGCTATCACGAGGCATGTAATAGATTTAATGAGCTGATGAGAAAATGTCCAAACCATGGAATCACTCAAGGAAACCAAGTGCAGTACTTCTGCACCGGACTTACACCACTGTCAAAATCTCAAGTTGATGCCTCTGCTGGTGGATCAATCATAAGGAAATCAGTGCAACAAACCATGGATCTATTTGAGTTAATTGCCACCACACATTTGATGTTCTCATCAGAAAGAGTGGTACCACCAAAGGCAGCAGGAATGTGTGAATTAGACAACACAACATCTACCAATGCACAGATAGCAGCTTTAACAAAACAGGTAGAGTTACTTGTAAAATTGCAAATACATGGAGCAAATGCAATGATGACCAGTTCAGCATGGGAGAATTGTGGGAGAAATCACGCTACAGAGAGCTGCATGATGCTCACTTCTTCAGAGGAACAATTAAACTTTATTCAAAATAGCTCCCGTAATTTCAACTCATATGGTAACAATTTTTAGTAAGAAAGAAGACCAAGTTTGGGGGAAATGTTTCAACAATATGTGCAAAAGACGGACAAGGTGTTCCAACAAATTGACGTGAACTTTCAAAATCAGCAAGCGTCCATCAAGAAACTGGAGACACAAATTGGTCAGATAGCACAACAACTTACAGAACGTCCACAAGGGATATTGCCAGGCAATACAATGATAAATCCTAAGGAACAGTTGATGGCGATTAAAGTAGTGGAGAATGATCCACCCAAGGCCCCCGTAAAAGTTAAAGCATATGTACCTCCACTTCCGTTTTCCCAAAGACTTCGAAAGAAGTCGATGGAGCAAACTATTCATGTCATAAATAAAAAGAGCGAGGTACAATCGCCAGAGATCACTACAGAGAAATCCAAAAGAAAAGATAACCTAGAAGTGATTGATGAAGCTACAATGGTAGAAAAATCTGCACCAAATGCAACTGAAAATGGAGAAAGTACAGAAACATCAGTTGCCAAAGTACCAAGTCTAGACAAAGCTTACATGCCTCCCATTCCCTTTCTTTAAAAGCTCAAGAAGAACAAACAAGACACAAACTGTGAAAAATTCCTCGATGTTCTTAAGAAGTTCCAGATCAATGTTTCGTTCATTGATGCGATACTACAAATTCCAAGCTATAAGAAATTTTTGAAAGAGATGTTGACAAAGAAAAGAAAGCTTCCGGAGTTTGAAACTGTGGCATTGACTGAGGAAAGTAGTGCAAGAGTCCACAGAAAATTGCCTCCTAAATTGAAGGATCCAGGGAGTTTTACTATACCAATTTCAATTGGAAATTCCTATTCAATTAATGCATTGTGTGACACTGGTGCTAGTATCAATCTAATGTCATATTCTGCTTACAGGAAATTAGGACTAGGTGAAATCAACTCAACATCAATAACGCTATAGCTAGCTGATAGAACAATCGCAAGGCCACGTGGCAAAGTTGAGGATGTACTCGTAAAAGTAGGAAATTTAATATTTCCTGTGGATTTCATTGTATTGGACATACCAGAAGATCGAGACATTCCAATTATATTGGGTAGACCATTCTTAGCAATGGGACGAACCCTTATTGACATGAAGAAGGGAGAACTAATCTTGAGGGTGGAGGACAAGCAGAAGATATTCAATATTTACATCCAACATGAGAAACCTTCTAATAAAAATGATTGCTATAGAATTGATGAAGAAGAGCCACCTGATCAACGAAACTGTTAGAATAAAACAACAAATTTTGGAGAACTTCTTAGCAGAGATAAGAATGGACAAATCAAAATTTGGAGAGCAAAAAACGACTGCATCAATGAAAATTATACAAAGTGCAATGATGGAATAACTTGGTTTGAGCCACCATGATAAATCAGCGACACAAGTCAAGCTAATGACTTAAAAGAAGCGCTTCTTAGGAGGCAACCCAAGCTTTTATTTTAATTTATTTTATTTATTTCGTTTTCAAAGTTCTAAGATATTTTAATTTATAGTTTATTTAGGAATTATTACCCATACACCTTCTACCCATAGGTCTTGGAGTAATTAAGTTGGTTATTAGATGTTTGAGCTAAGTAATCATTGTTCCATGAGTTTAACTTTTCAAATTTAATTTTTCAAGAACATGACGTCACGGAACACTCAAACCAACATGGACATGAAGAAAATGGGACAAATCTCAAGTTTGGGGGAAAATGTAGAAGAGAAGTCGATCAAATGCAACACCAAGACACTACAACATCATAGGCAATACTGACATTTCAGGGAAGTCCTCCTTTTCCTTTAAAATTCACATTGAGGACAATGTTTCAGTTAAGTTTGGGGGAGTGACATCATTTGTTTACATTGTTGAGTTTCTCGAATGCTTATGTGTGATTTGCTTGTTTTATGTGTTTGTGTTTTTATTAAAAAAAATTTTTCATTTCGTGTTTTTGCATGCTTGTGTGTGTTAGATAACCTTGTCGGTATTGATATGTGTAATTGAGAACATGCGTTGATTTATGAATTGTGGACGAGTTATGTGTTTGAGTTAGATTTTTGCTTATTCATGTGAAATGAAAATTATTTTTTGCACGTGAGTTGATTGTAGCGTTGTGCATGAGGAGGTTGATTCACGCTTATAGGTTGAAATAGAGAACTTAGATGCTAAATCCAAACAATCATTAAACATCACAATACCCTTAAACCAAACTTACGACGTTTGGATGATTACACTGTTGTAGGAAAATTTGGAGATAAATTTGGATTTCGTGTGTATTAATTTTTGTGTGGATTGTCTAACACCAATAGGATGAAAATTGGGTGAAAACCTTAAGTTAGAGGTCGATTTTCGAGGATAGGTGTTTAATAAGGAGCATTGCACTAATCACTGCATAAAAAAAAAGATCCCAATGAGGACAACTTTAATAATCTCATTGTAAATCGTCTCTTCGTAGCCTTTATGACTCGAGTGATTAAGTCTATAAGGATTTAAAACCTAGTGCCGTAAAGTCATCTGATTTGGGAGTCATCGGCTTAAAATTCGCTACAGGGGTCATTTAGAAAGTTTAATGGAGAGACGTCTACACAAAGAGTGATTAAAGAATAAAAATATATATATGAAAAAAAATTAAAAAAAAAAAGAGAAAAAAATGGATATCAAATGCCTTGATTAAGCCCCGAGCACTTGTTTTAGAGGATTAGACATTTGATAAGGGGTTAGTAACTTAGTTGATTCTTAGAGGTTGAAGCAGTCAAAAATAAGGAGAATCCTCATTTGTTGACATGTGGAACTACAATAAGTAAAATCTAACCAAACTTGAGTGATGTGAGAAATTAATATTGAAAATTTAACCTTAGGTTACACTCTTGGAAAGAGAAGAAAATAAGTTTGGGGGTGTGTGAATCCCACGAGCAAAGTAAGGAAAAATTTGACTTCTAAGGTCGGGAATTGGGTCAACTTATTATTGTACAGCGTTGCACTTGACTGTCAACACACACACTCGTTTTGCATTGAATAAGTGAGAATTTAACTTTTGCATTATAGCTTTGAAGTGGTTCATGGAATCGAAGTTATGTTTTTAATTCTAAGACATGAAGGCAAGCTATCTGGCGAAATTTATTTTAAGTGATTTTGTTTGTCTTAGTTGTGCTTGTTTGTCCATTAATTATTTTACGGGTTTTGGTGTTTGCTCGAGAACAAGCAAAAGAAAAAGTTTGGGGGTGTTTGATAAGTGATTTACACTCATTATATTATGCCATTAATTTCATGATTTTGCTATCTTGGAGAGTATTTTAGAAGTGCTAACAAGTGATTTCGGTGTTGTTTTGTAGATTGATGGAAGTGTAAACAAGAGCTAAAAGAGGTCAAAGGAAGGAAATAAGCAAAAGTTAGCGAAATTGGAGGAAATGACCAAAACGTAAGAGATCCAAAGTTCGAGGATTAAAATGCAATTAATCAAAAGTCGTGTCGAAACTTGAAATGAAGATCCGAGAGTTCTAGAAGCCAATTGGATGAAGGAAGGTGTCAAAGGGATCAAATTTAGTCAAGATATGATCATAAATCATTTTCCAATCAAAAAGTTATGCGCCGGAGTTTTGGTCTCACATTTAGACTGATTTTTGACATAGAAAATGATCGAATTGAGAATGATTCCTGAAGCAAAATTGTAGTCCTTTGAATTATCTTTCCAACGCATCTTAAATCACTTCAATCGGATATCGAACGAGAAAGTTATGCTAAAAATACTAAAGGACGCGCAGAATGCTGTACCGGGCGCTGCGGCGCTCATCGTGATCGTTGGGGCGCCCATCTTGTTGAAACAAGCAGAAAGTCAGCGCCCAGGCGTTGCATTCCGAAACAAAAGGAAATTCTGATTTTATAATATTTTTCTCGGCCCAATTAGTAACATGTTGTTCCCTAAATTCCAAGACACTATAAATACACAATTGAAGACCTAAATTAGGGGGGAATCAAGCCACGCGTTCTTGACATATTGAGGAGAAGACAACAAGAAGGGAGATTGAAAAGAGAAATTCAAGAAGATTAACACCAAGCGATTGAAGATTAGAAGCATTCATTGAAAGGGGAAGGAGATCTTGGTGCAAGAATTCTACTTTTTCTTCTACATCTTTATTACAAATCCGGTAATGTATTCTAAGACAATTTCCTATTTTTCTTCCATTATTATGAGTAGCTAAATTTGATTTTAGGGCGAACAATGTAATCTTTTGGAATACTTTATTTCATGCAATTGAGATTCTAGTGCTTTTATATTTTATGTGTTGATTTTAATGTTGTTCTTAATACATTTAATTACTTGATTATTAATTAGATGATTTGTGAACAATGATTGCGTAGAGATGCGGATTATTTGTTTAGACCACATGTTAAAATCTGGTAAATTGATATAACGTGTAGAGTTACCTATATTGATTGCTGTGGTCGTGTGTGAATTCTTAGAACCAATGTTTCGTTTAATTAAATTTAATTTGCATAGAGATATGGAATTAAACTAATTAAATAGGCTCAATGATAACTCGAGAGGGATAAGTTGAATACAATAGAAGAATTCGACTGGACACTATCTTAGATTTTATGAATCTTGATTTACAAAGTAAAGGTGACCAATAGGTGAAATTGTTCCGCCCTAACGTCCATTTATTGTTTAAATTCTCAATCACTTTTCGTTGCATCCAATCGCATTTTTAAGTATTTAGAATAAAAATCACATTTAATCATTGTTTTTGTTTATTTTCGTCAAATAGAAGTTAGAAATAATAAATTGGGCATTAAAAGTACAGTCCTTGTGGAACGATAATTCGGACTCAAAAGGTCCACTTTATTACTTGTTACGATCCGTTCACTTGCAGGATAAAATCGACAATAAAAATATAAAGAAAAACAGAAAAATAAAGAATAATTACACGGACACGAACACGAACACAACAATTTATGTGAAAAAATAAAAAGATTTAGAAAATCACGGACAATAAAAGAGATTGCACCATGTGAAAATATTTTATGGTCCTGTGGTAACTATCTCACACTCCAAATTGTAAAGTACATCCCAAAATTTTAATACTGAGTGAGACTATATATATAGGATCCTCAAGTATCACCCAAAACGATCCATAATTATTTGTGTTAGAGACTAAAAGAGACAATAAGTGACTTTTTAGTTTCTGTTCAATGTGGGATCTAAATAGTCACAATACAAATTTTTGTATGTAAGAATGTTAACATATGTAACTAAACCTGCTAAAGTTAACATATAGGTTTTCTAATCAAAGTAATTACATGAGCAAATAGAAAAATTATATGAACGGTCTAAAAGATAGAACTTGTTATCTGCCGTATGAAAAACAGTCCAATAATTTTGCCTCATTTGGAATTGATTAATAAATGCATCCAATAAATAAGAATTTCTGGAAGTATGTTGTATTAACTTAGAATTTCTTAAAATGTCAATCTTATTAAGAGGAGTAGTCCAAAGTCTTATAAATTGGTCTAATTTCATCTTTATTTGATGTGAGATTTTATTCCTTAACAAGCCCCCAACAAGATGGTAATTTGTTTGAGTAGACCAATCTTGAAATTCGCATGCTCATTTTTTTAATATTATCTGATCAAATTGCTCGTTAGAGCTCAATGGAATTCGATACACTGTTAAGAATTGAGATTCTATCTTAAAATGTCAATTTTATTAAGAAGAGTAGCTAAATCCTTATTAATTGGTCTATGCATGTTTTCCTCTTTATTCGACATGGAATTTTATCATGGTCACAGGAATTTCTTCCCTCATGATCTTGTCATATCTCATTGAACATTTTTCCTCATATTGTTGTGTTTCGAGAGAGTGTAGTATGTGATGTGTTTATTATTATTTACTATTCTATTTTACTTTTTTGGGCTAAATTGGTAAGATATTTTTTTGGGTCATTAATGTCATGACAACTAACTGAGAGAGGATTTCTCAGTATCTATATTAGGGTAATTGTATTCACAATAGTTTGTGTTAACTAGACAAAATTTTAATTGCAGTGAATATTCTCATTTTTACTCATTTTGGCATTATTTTTCCAACTTTTTTGATTGCATTATGTCTTTAACATTCAATTAATTAATAATCTTGTCTTTACTGATGATTTCTATCCAAATATTTCCCTTAGTGTGGGGAAAATATTTTGTCGAACTTTATATTTGTTGTTTATCTTACTTATTTAAAAAATATGAGTAAATAAGTCTTTTA